TATTGACTTGACTTATAACAACATGTGGTTCATTTGGTAAAATAAAAGTTTTTTTGTTGATAAACCGATAAAAAAAATGTAAAGCCCTGGTCAGAATACTTGATAGTGGTGGCTGAAAATTAAAAAATTACAAATTTTTATATGTTGTGAACTTCTTGAAATCTCAGCTTCCTACATATAAATGCTTTCAAGAAACATTCCAAGCCCTTTAATATTTTGATACAATATTCTATGAGATTTACTTTATACATACATAAAAAGAATAAAGTTTGTAATACCCAAAACATCATATCTTATTATTTGTTAAACATTGTCAACTGATGATTTTTTATCATTTTTGCACTGCCAATCACTATTAGAATTCTCTGCTTCATTCATAGATTGTCAATTAATCTATTCAGCTGATGTAAATATTTATTTCAAATTATTAATCATAATTTTGTATTGTTCAGTTGACCCAAATATTTATTTAGCATTAATAAGCATATTTTATTGGGCAAAATAGAGTAAAAGTCATGTTTTCTTTAATACCCCAAGAGGTATAAAAGAACTTGGTTTTAGACCAAGTTGGAATCATCATGTTCACATAACAATCTTTTAATTATTGATCTAATAATTAATACTTTCCTAACACCACCATTGTATTATCACTAATAAAATACATAACATAAAAATCTTGACCTTTGATATAATTAATAAACTGCCAAAGGAAAACCTCTGCTTAACTCAGCAAGAAACCACAATTTTAACTATTGAAATATATTTTAAGGGGACACCTTTGGGTATAGTTAGCTATACAATACTAGGGACCTTTTATCCAGGTGAGTAGGCCATAAGATAAAAGAAAACTTTGACCATAAGTCAGTGAGTAGGTTGTGTGTTGAACATAAAACTAACCTATTAAATAGAAAACTTGAATTGCATGCTTGCACCATCAAATTCAAAAACACAAAGTTTATTTTGAAACTACTACCATGATTAAAGATGTAAATTTAAAATTTTCAGATTTTTAAACTCTTGAGTTTTTTTAAAAAAAAATTTCTCATTTTTTTTAGTGTGATGACAATGATTCTATTGAAAGTAATCTGGTGGTTCTTTTAAAATTCAATTATTAATAAAGAAAACAAAATTACAGTTGACACTTATATTGGTGATCATGATTTTTAATTTTTAAAATAACTTATATTTATTTGGATTTTTGATTGCATGTTAATATTTTTGTTTTATTTGTAGATTTAATTGGAATTATTAAAACTATAGATGACTCACATGATATTTTTATACAAACAACAAAAACAAATGTATTTATCTTTTTTTACATATTTTATTGAATTTTTTTTTATTGATCTATGAAAATTCATGTTCTTTTTTAAAATTATCTGTAGGTACATAGACAAATTATCAGCATAGCTGATAAAGATAATAATGAAGTTAAGTTAACATTATGGGGGAGAGCATGTTACACTTAGGAAGACTTTCCCAATACCCTGAAGTCACTTGCAATTCTCAAAGGTTTTTACACACTTGTGTCAAATGTCAAGGTATTATATACCCATTATCATTATAGTTAATATAAATAACATCTAAGGTTGTGGGCAAAACTCCTCCAGAAATCAGTTGACAGAGTTTCAACAGGTTACACATTAAATGTTAATAGAGTTTTGGCAGAGTTTCACATTTGGGGTTTTGTCAATCATCAGAGTTTTGACAAGGTAGATAATAATTGTTCATTAGAGTTTCAACAGAGTTTCAACAGTCACTAAGAGGTTTCAGCAAGCAACCTTAATAACATTTCACTATCATATTCATCTCATTTTAGTTCACATTAAAGACAAATTGCAACCATACAAATGATGTCACCCTTCCTGATTCATGTGTATATATGGTGCGCAAAGCCTATAACCATCATTTACTGTATCACCCTGGCAAACTTCACCAAAAAACTCAATCAAAAATTTGAAAATTATTGATAAAAAATTTATAAAGTCATGTGATTTTTAAAATTTCTTAATTTGATTTATTATCAATTTTAATTATCAACAATATTGCTTGAAGCTTTTCAATAGGATTTGTATCTCTTCTACTGCACATAAAGCTTCTAGACCTGTCAATCCATTTCTATTTATGGAATGACTAGGAAATATCACATGACCAAACAATTTTAATTTTTTCTCCAAAATCGTCGTCGTGGCGCAGTAAGTTGTGGACTAGGTGACTTGCACCATTATCCCATATGGACATAAATTATAAACTTATCTTTTATTGGACAATCAAATTTGTCTGCTTTTGTTCCCCCATAATTTCATCATTCATTTTCTTTAAAATAAAAAAAAATTTTTCTTTTTCAAAAAAAAACAAAGATTAAGAAAAAAAAAAGATTTTTTTCTCTATAATCTTTTCCTTTAAAGTAAATAAATTTTTTTTCTGTAAAAAAAATTTTTTTAGAAAAGAAAATCTTTAAATCCTTGATTAATTAATCAATATTGTTGTTATATAATAAAATAAAAATAAAATTATTAGGGAAAAGAAGATCCACCGTCACTAAAAAAATTTTGTTATATTAAAAAAAAAAACCAACTCTAGTAAACAATTTATATATATATATAACACAAATCATTACCACTCCCATTAAATCAACCTCATTAAATCAATTTCGCCAAATCAACCAACATCTTCAAATAAAATTACCATTACCACAACAATCACTGATATAAACTTTACGACTATTAACAATAATAATACAATATGCCCGTTTTTAATAATCCCTTACTCACCACAACATCAACCATCAATAATTCTACATCAAATACGTCAACAACAAACGCCATCAACATCAGCTTAAACGGTTTGCCAGACAAATACGTATGCGCTGATGGAGATGTTTGTCAAGATCCTTCCCATAAGCATTATCAAGAATATCAAAAAAAATTGCAAGAACAGTTAAAGCAAGAAGAGCTGATACAAAAAAAGAAAAGACGATTATCCATGACAACTGAAATATCAACAGTTAGATTAATGCCAACTACAACTTGTTCACTTTATTCCGGCTCAAAGTTTAGAGGTGAACAGACAAGTGGCAGAAGTAGTTATGATGTTTCAGTTCATATTCAGGTAATACAAAGTTTAAATACGTAAACAAATGATTCATTAATACTAATACCATGTTTTTAATTTTTTAATTTATCTTTAATCCATATTAATAATTATTATTGTATAGCATGTTAATCTTTCAGAATCATATCTATGTGGATATCTTCATATTAAAGGTTTAACGGAAGATTATCCTGAATTAACTACATTCTTTGAAGCCGAAATCATTGGACGTAAATATTCCTTCCTAACTAAAAAATGGGATGCTGATGATAAGATAGATATGCAACACTGGGTAATAATCAGATTTGATTGATTAGTTATAAATTATAAATTTTATCAATAACAAAAAATCTTATTATAATCTAATATTATCTTATAATTAATTGTCCATCCATCCGTTATTAATTTAGGTTCGTTTCCCAGCTTTTAAACCACTTCAGAAAAATATGAAAAAAGATGGATTTGTTTATGATTTTCATAATAAAGATTATATTTTTATGAGATGGAAAGAACATTTTCTTGTTCCTGATCATCGTGTTAGAACAATTAATGGTGCTAGTTTTGCAGGATTTTATTATATTTGTTATCAATTAAGTACAGGAACCATTACCGGTTTCTACTTTCATAAAAGTTCTGAAAGGTAAAAATAATAAATTTAATTATTTAATTAATATCGATAACAGTGATAATGATAATAATTTTATTATTATATTTATTTAGATTTCAGGAATTGAAGTTGCATCATTTAGTAGATAATTCTTTTCCATCATTTGAATTTCGATGAAACTAAAAAAAAAATTTTTTATTTTTAAATGTTATATAAAGTAATATATAGATAATTTATATTATTATTATTATTATTATCATCATCATTATCATTATTTATTATTATTATTAGTGACATTTATTATTTAGAATAATTAAATTTTACAATTTTTACATATTATTATTTTACTACATACACACACACATATATACATTATTATAATAATAATAAATGATATAATGATAAATAATAATAATAATAATAAAAAAAAGGTTTTATTTTGGGTGCATTTTTTTATTAATCAGAAATGAGGGAGAAGGAAAATAATCAATATTTAAAGATGATGATGGTTATTACTATATTATTATCATTATTACATTATACTACTATTAATCCATACTTTATTATTATTATTTATTTATATGTATAACATTCTTATATATACATTATACATTATACATTATATATATGTTTTCTATGTTGCTTTTGTTCCCCCATAATTTCATCATTCATTTTCTTTAAAATAAAAAAAAATTTTTCTTTTTCAAAAAAAAACAAAGATTAAGAAAAAAAAAAGATTTTTTTCTCTATAATCTTTTCCTTTAAAGTAAATAAATTTTTTTTCTGTAAAAAAAATTTTTTTAGAAAAGAAAATCTTTAAATCCTTGATTAATTAATCAATATTGTTGTTATATAATAAAATAAAAATAAAATTATTAGGGAAAAGAAGATCCACCGTCACTAAAAAAATTTTGTTATATTAAAAAAAAAAACCAACTCTAGTAAACAATTTATATATATATATAACACAAATCATTACCACTCCCATTAAATCAACCTCATTAAATCAATTTCGCCAAATCAACCAACATCTTCAAATAAAATTACCATTACCACAACAATCACTGATATAAACTTTACGACTATTAACAATAATAATACAATATGCCCGTTTTTAATAATCCCTTACTCACCACAACATCAACCATCAATAATTCTACATCAAATACGTCAACAACAAACGCCATCAACATCAGCTTAAACGGTTTGCCAGACAAATACGTATGCGCTGATGGAGATGTTTGTCAAGATCCTTCCCATAAGCATTATCAAGAATATCAAAAAAAATTGCAAGAACAGTTAAAGCAAGAAGAGCTGATACAAAAAAAGAAAAGACGATTATCCATGACAACTGAAATATCAACAGTTAGATTAATGCCAACTACAACTTGTTCACTTTATTCCGGCTCAAAGTTTAGAGGTGAACAGACAAGTGGCAGAAGTAGTTATGATGTTTCAGTTCATATTCAGGTAATACAAAGTTTAAATACGTAAACAAATGATTCATTAATACTAATACCATGTTTTTAATTTTTTAATTTATCTTTAATCCATATTAATAATTATTATTGTATAGCATGTTAATCTTTCAGAATCATATCTATGTGGATATCTTCATATTAAAGGTTTAACGGAAGATTATCCTGAATTAACTACATTCTTTGAAGCCGAAATCATTGGACGTAAATATTCCTTCCTAACTAAAAAATGGGATGCTGATGATAAGATAGATATGCAACACTGGGTAATAATCAGATTTGATTGATTAGTTATAAATTATAAATTTTATCAATAACAAAAAATCTTATTATAATCTAATATTATCTTATAATTAATTGTCCATCCATCCGTTATTAATTTAGGTTCGTTTCCCAGCTTTTAAACCACTTCAGAAAAATATGAAAAAAGATGGATTTGTTTATGATTTTCATAATAAAGATTATATTTTTATGAGATGGAAAGAACATTTTCTTGTTCCTGATCATCGTGTTAGAACAATTAATGGTGCTAGTTTTGCAGGATTTTATTATATTTGTTATCAATTAAGTACAGGAACCATTACCGGTTTCTACTTTCATAAAAGTTCTGAAAGGTAAAAATAATAAATTTAATTATTTAATTAATATCGATAACAGTGATAATGATAATAATTTTATTATTATATTTATTTAGATTTCAGGAATTGAAGTTGCATCATTTAGTAGATAATTCTTTTCCATCATTTGAATTTCGATGAAACTAAAAAAAAAATTTTTTATTTTTAAATGTTATATAAAGTAATATATAGATAATTTATATTATTATTATTATTATTATCATCATCATTATCATTATTTATTATTATTATTAGTGACATTTATTATTTAGAATAATTAAATTTTACAATTTTTACATATTATTATTTTACTACATACACACACACATATATACATTATTATAATAATAATAAATGATATAATGATAAATAATAATAATAATAATAAAAAAAAGGTTTTATTTTGGGTGCATTTTTTTATTAATCAGAAATGAGGGAGAAGGAAAATAATCAATATTTAAAGATGATGATGGTTATTACTATATTATTATCATTATTACATTATACTACTATTAATCCATACTTTATTATTATTATTTATTTATATGTATAACATTCTTATATATACATTATACATTATACATTATATATATGTTTTCTATGTACAATGACATGATATCATTATTAATCAGTGAAGTGTTTTATTTTCCTACGAGGAATCTGATTTTTGGGAGAAAAATCTTTTTTTTCAATTGATTTGCTTTAAAATCAACACTATTATTAACTTACTTCCTCATATACTTGTAATTATAAAACCTATTTTTGCAACTAACTTTAAAGATAAAACCTGCGATCAATCGGTTAATTTACAATTGTGTTACCTACTACCTTTAAATTTAATTTATACTTTCTGGTTCCAATTGTAAAATTCATATAATATTAATATCAAAGATTATAAAAATGATCCTACAAATTAATTATTGAATTAATTATCGAATTAATTATCTGCCAATTAACTAGAGCAATAAAATAAATAAAAAACAATAACAGATAAAACCACATTAAAAATTAACAAGAGTAAAATAGTAGTAGCACAACAACTCCCTCCCGTTACTACCTATGACCTCATTATCATCTTTTTTTTTACTAATTTGGTAAAGTGGTACGAACTTGATTTTTGCATATTGTACAGAAATTTAATTTGCTTAATTTTTTTTTTTTACGGAATCACATTTATTTATTTTTATTTTTATATACACATTAACATATATATTATTAATTTAAAATATCAAAAAAAAATTTTTTAAAATGGCAACAACACAATCTGCTCTTTTACTTCAAAAACAACTAAAAGGTATAATAGCATGGTTTCTATTGCTAAAAATTTTAAAGAAAAATATTTTTAATTCAAGTGTTTTTAATTTCTACTTTTCGTATTTCATATTTTATATTTATAAGAACTATCAAAACATCCAGTTGAAGGTTTCTCAGCAGGACTTGTTGATAATGATAACGTGTATGAGGTATGAAGTTTTTACTTGTTATAGCATATTTATATATCATGAAAAAATTTATCACTGATCAAAAAATATTCCTTTATTAAAAAAAAAAAAAGGTATGATCTGTTATTATTACTATTATTACTATTACTGTTATCGTTACAGGTTCATTAATAATAATAAAAAATATTCTCGTTTGCCTTTTTTCTGATCATAAATAATTAATAAGTGGGAAATTATGATTATGGGTCCAGCAGACACCTTATAGTAAATATTTAAATTTAATTTTTTATTTAAAAAAATTTTTTTCTATAATTAATTTATATAATTTATCGTTGATTAAAAAAAAAATAGTGAAGGAGGATTTTTTAAAGCAAGAATGTCATTTCCAAAGGTATGTCAAATAAATAATTTCATTTCATTTCATTTTATGAAAAATTGAATTGAAATCTTATTTAATTGGTTTATCAGGAATATCCTTTATTACCACCAAAGTTAAAATTTATATCTGACATGTGGCATCCTAATGGTATGTTATATAAAGCGGAATATGTGCGCGCATGTGCCAATATAAATTTTTATTATATTGTATCATTAATTAAGCAATTAAAAACCATTTAAATCACGTGATATTACAGTTTACCCTGATGGTGAAGTTTGTATTAGTATCTTGGTAAATATTAATTTTATTAGAATTTTAAATAATAATGATTAAATATTTCATAATTATATAATTAATCTCGTTTGACCTTAATCTTAAATAATAATTCCTGGTTCATTCATATTATATCCATATTTATTTTATTTATTATATTATAGCATCCTCCTGGTGAAGATAAATTTGGATACGAAGATGCAGGTGAAAGATGGTTGCCGGTGCATACAGTTGAAACGATTTTATTAAGTGTGATTTCTATGCTTTCAACTCCAAATGATGAATCACCTGCAAACATTGAATCTGCTGTAAGCATATATATGAATTTTTCATAATAATAATGATATTAGTATTACTATTATTATTATGCGTATGTTTATTATACTTGGTATATAATTACATATTTATATTTGGTTATAATAGAAGGAATGGCGAGATAACTATCCAGCATTTAAAAAGAAAGTTCAACGTATAGTAAGAAAATCAGCTGAAATGTTATAGAAGTTATGAAAGAAAGAAGAGGCAAATTGGTTGATTAATAGACAAAAAAAGAAGTTCCTGGTTATATATATATATATATATATAATTTTAATCTAATTTTTCAATTTTAAAAAAAAAATAAAAAATAGTTAACGTTAGTTCTTTAGTTACATATACTAATTATTTTATTTATATACATATATCAAATATGTATTTATATATTACAGATTCTCGGTTAATATAATAATAATAATAATAATAATTTTTTCTTTTGTTATAATAATTATATTTTAATGTTTTTATTAGATGACCTTTCCAATATGAACCCTATTAAATATAAATTGTTCCTTAACAATTTGTTCTGATTAACCAAGCTAACTAACCAATTCACTGACCAACAAACGAAAAATATAATTAATAACACTGAAATAAAAATTAACCAATAAATAAAAAAATAATAAATAAAAAAAACTTTCAAAATATTTTAAAGATTTTCGCGTCATACACATGTCTAAAATTTCAAATGTATATTTAAAAATTCGACGCGTTGTTCAACTGACACGTGTGATTTTGTACTTTACGATATTATTCGTGTAACTTCTACAGAAAAAATTGTTGCCCTACTTGTCGATCCCATAAGATAAATTCTCAAATTATGTATAATAACAATAAAATACTTCCAAAATTGTTATCAGTTAGAGATTTGATAAAAATCTATGGATTAAAATCGAAACACCAATTGAGTCAAAATTTTTTACTTGACAAAAATCTTACAGGTTAAAATAAATAACAATTAATAATTAATTGTAATAAATTAAATATTTATTTTTATTTTTTTATCTAGATAAAATTATTAAATATGCAAATATTAATAATAATAATAACTCACTTGCAATTGAAGTCGGTCCAGGTATTTTTAATAGTGTAAATCATATAGACAAATAGACATTCAATAACATTAATATTTTTTATTTTTGTCAAGGGCCTGGATTATTAACTAGATCAATCTTAGAAACTGGTGTATCAAATGTTATTGCCATAGAAAAAGACAGTAGATTTTTACCTTTTCTTATGCAATTAGTAGAAGCATCAGATAATAAATTAAAAGTAAAGAATTTAGTTTAATTTATTAAGTTGGCAAGACATTAATATTTATTAATTAATCAATTATCAAGATATTAGAAGACGACATATTAAACATAGATCATGATTTGATATTAAAAACTGCCAAAATAACTGATGAGTTAATACCTGGTAATAATATTTTAATATTAATTTTACTAAAAGCTTAATAATATATTTAATGTTAATTATTTTTTATCTTGTTTTTAAAAAAAAAATTGATAATAGTTACCAATCTATATTTAATTGGAAATCTACCATTCAATATTTCAACAAAGTTATTAGTTCAATGGATTAAAATGATTTCAAATAAATCTGGGATATTTAAAATACCACACATTTCAATGACTTTAATGTTTCAAAAAGAAGTTGGAAATGTAAGTTATTGTCATATATATATTATATATATATATATATATATATATATATATATATTCTATATATTTACAAAATAATATTGTTAATTTTTTGATCAATTAAATAATATTTAAAGAGAATAGTTGCAGATGTTAAAACTAAACAAAGGGGTAGACTATCTGTTTTAGTGCAAAGTTTATGTGATGCTAAATTAATTTATAATTTATCTTCTTCAGTGTTTATTCCCAAACCACAAGAAAGTATTTAATATTTTTTATTTTTACTATTAGTAGCAATGGTAATAAAATAACAATATTAATAATAAATATTTTTATTTAGGTTGATGCTTCAGTGATTCAACTTAATTTATTATCAAACCCAGTTTTAAATGGTGAATTTATTATTATATTATTGTATTTTACTATTACTACTAATACTAACAATGATATTTTATTACTGTTAGTTCCAATTGACCAACTTGAGATGGTTGTTAAATATTTTTTCAACAAGAGAAGAAAACAAATAGGAAATATATTAAGGTAAATTATAAACAATAATAGTGATAATGATGATAATAACAATATATTCATGTTTTATATTTTTTTAGAACTTTACAAAAAAACCTTCCAGATGATAAACAAATTTTCATTGAAAATATCATTGAAGAATTAAAATTGAATTTAAATCTAAGAGCTGAAGAACTATCAACTCAAGAATTTTGTGATTTGTCTAAAAAATTTTATGAAAATTCAATAAACATACCTGATTTTTGAAATTTTCCAATCATCATTTTAATCATTATATTAAAATTGCCCATTAAAGTTAAAGATATTTCTATAGAACATTTACTATTTGGAACAAACAATAATTAATTAATGATTTCCTTATGAATCAGATGTTTGACTTATTCAGCTTGATTGGCCATTTTTGTGTCAATTTTTCTCTGCACCTTTGTGTGAAAAGTTGTATTATACCTTTACTTTGGGGATGTAGAGATTAGTGCTTCTACAGCAAGTTCATTGATTCATAATATGTTATAATAGTTATATGTTAATAACATTTTTTGATACAGTGCAAAATGTCTATACCCAATGAAAATGTAATTTTATTAATATTGAAACATAAAACATAAAACATTTCAATAGATTGATTGGAAAGTGTGTCTTATCATTTAAAATATTTTTGTAATGAACCATGTTCCAGATATTGGCAATGCTGATAAATTTGGTAAAATATGTTTCTTTTCTTTCTGATACTGTTGAGCTTGACTTCATAAGTGCTCATCTAATAAAGATTTTTTTTCAACTCCAGTATGTAAATCTTTATATAATTCATGAGATCTTCAATTGATTTGTCAATTAAATTTACCTATATAATATTTTAATTGAATTTCATTGGTTGGTTTCATTGGAACATTCCAATGGGAAATTGAAATTAGTTGGGATATTCTGATGGAAATTATTGGAAACATAAATGGCACCACAACACTGGTCTATTACAAAAGATTAAAACTCTTGAAAATTTTCAAGCTGGGTTCAGTTCTGGCCAGACTTGGGTTGTTGGTTAAGGGCTGAATTGAAAAACCTGATTCAAAACCAAAACCTAAAATTTTTTGGACTGTACCAATTATACTTGAGGTCAAAATTATACAATTGATGCAAGATGAAATTTGCGATGCAAGTCACAATTCATGACAAAAGCATGTTTCATTATCTAACAAAACCTTTTGGCTATGAAACATTGATGTTACATTAAAATTAAAGAAATCAAAAAGTTTCATGTAATAAATAAAGAGCTTTATATGCGGTTAAAGTTTGAATTAATTCATACAGTCTCTGGCGAAAGTAATGGCGGTGATAATTTTTTTAAAAACTAAAAATTTTTAATAAGCAACTATCAATAAAATTTTATTTTTAAAACGCCTCTAAGTAAAACATTATGCTTTTAAAAGCTTATAGTATAAAACGTTTTCCTCCTTTCTCAATCCCGGTTTGAATCTAATTTGAGCATTAAAAAAAATCGGAACTTTGGCTTTTTTAAAAATTTTTTAAATTTCATTTTTCTATTAAACTTTTTTTTTATTAAGTAAATGAATCTTTATACATTAAATAAAATTATTTGAAATGAAAAATTCCACGTATCCTAAAAATTTTATGAAGTTTGGATAAAAATTTTTAATATGTTTTTATATTTTACGCTTTTACGAAATAGAAAAATCAAAATTTTTTACACAAATGTAAAGTGCAAGAACACATCAAAAAATTTTAGGATATGTAGAATTTTTCATTGTGAACAACTTTATTTAATATAAAAAGATCGATTTACTTAATAAAAACTTAGCAAAAATAATATTTCATTGTACCGCCATTACTTTCACCGGGGACTGTAATAGAAATTATTAATTATAATGGGCAACAGATAAAAAATAGCTCTGAAAAGCATACAAAATTGATACAAAATTCTGATTGGCTAATTGGAATTTCATGTGTGTGAATTTAAATTTTCAAATTTACATTGCTATCCGACCAAAATAGCACTCATTTGGAAAGTCATGCTTGGCCATGGCTGTGGGAATTGGTAATACAGAGAGCATACATAGCTTGCATGAACTGGCAGCAGAATACGTTTCTCCGCAGACCACTTGCTCTATAAAAAATTTAGTCAGAAAATGTATAGTTTTTCCATACACATTTGCACTGAAAATGCCTGAGAATGTATGGAAAGTACATTAACATGGAAAATTCATGGAATATGTATGGAATTTTCGGAAAATGGCCTGAAAAATTACATTCCGTACATTTTCCTATTACTATTAATATTACTATGCATTTTCTGTACATTTTCCGTGCTTAACATTCATACGAATTTATGGAAAATGTGCAGAAAATGCACAGGAAAATGTACAGAATGTATTTTCAGGACATTTTCAGGACAAATATGATATGTACGGAAAAGTGCTCTTTTAATGTATAATTCCATACATATTCCATACAAAATTCATAGAAAATGTATGGAAAACCTATACTGAAAAAAAATTTTATAGGATTGTACTGCTCGCGTTATTTTACTTATGTAACAGTCGAAATACAGCCATGTCTTTCATTGCAAGTTTTTTTGGGACAACACCTATCCATGTTATCACGCAAATTATCTTCAAAATAATGCATGTGTTCTAGCTAATACACGAAGAAAATTTTCCTAACGCAAATATCATGCTACTTACATGTGTTTACAGCTCCGTAATATTGCTCGCAATTATTACATTCAAATGTTAACCTTTGCGTAAAAATTTACAAAATTATATAGAGCTTACGAGCATAATATTATGGCGGAAATGATTTTCTGATGAATAGAATTATTGGAGTTAAGTTTGGACAGGTCCTTCCGATGCTACTAATCTACCGAATGTCACCATACCTTACTTTTCAATGATGTTCCTGGTGTTCCTCCCAGAGTACCTAATAACTTCAATATAGGTCTATGGGATTTTCAGCATGCAATGCTCAATGATTAGTTGTGACATTATAAATTTCCAAATTTGACATGATGTGTGGGCAAATATTTGCTATATGAGAAATTTTTTGCTATAAAAAGTTTTTCACGGATTTTTGGTTTTATCAAGCAGGTCCTAAGTAATCATTGGCAGAGATAAACAAACTTATTTTTGCAACTTTATATTATAATCATGTGATACAATCAGTTTATTGTTTAATAAGTTCTTGTTATCAAGTAGGTATCTACCGATACCTGCCTGAAAGAAATATATTTGAATTAAAGAAAAAAAAATTTATTTCTGCCAGTAATACGTCGGACCTACCTGATAACAAGAACGAAAATGTCACACATGATATCGATAAAAGTGACAAAATAAAGTTAAAGACTTGGAATAGATTTTGCCTAATTAAATTGGGATTACACATAACCACCAACCATCCAGACACCCCTGTTAAAAGGTTGAACCTCATGTTTTGAGAATGTAGATCCTTGGATTGGGTGAAAAATGGATATACGTTTATTATTATGATTATTATGAAAACTAATTTCGGCATTTCTGATTCAACGATGATCATTTATTGAATTCTATGATTTCTAACATATTACTGTTGATTTTTAAATTTTAAAAATAGAAATAATTAAAATGTTAACTGCAATTTGCCAAAAATCATCTAGATCACCCATAAGCTATATAGAATTTGCATGTGAAATGGTTCGGCAACACACTATGAAGATTTGTTTGTTAAGAATATTAATATCTTTTTAAGCCTGATAAAGAATCAAATATTTTGAAAATTTCCATTCTTCATATAATGAATAAATAGATATTTGTGATTGAATCCATAAATTTGAATTATGCCATTTTGCCAAAAACTAAAATAATTCTTGACTCAAAAACATACATGTACATACAGAAAATTCATCAGAAATATTTTTTAATTTAATGTTATAGTCCTTCCTATATTTTTTCCAATTGGCTTTCTATACAGCCGACGCCATATAGTTACCTCAACTTTGAGGTAAAAAATTCCGTCAATATTAGTATTATATGCACATTTATTTTATAATCACAGTTTTATCTGTCCAGAAAGGCGTGACCATAAGGGAGGTTGACTGTAGTTACAAAAATCACCTTCACCTATTACTATCTTTTTAATCAACTCTTACTGTAATAAATTTGGATCACATGATTGACGCCATGAATTTCCAACAATAGATTATCATGATGTCAAAATTGATGGCGATGTGCTCGGAACAAATCGAGCACTTGCTAGTATTGAAGACCTTTTTTTTTATTTCTTTACATATCTTATAATCAATATTTTAAATAAAATAAAATCAATATTAAATAATAAATAAAATAAATTTTTAAAATTATTAATGAAATGAAAAAATATACAAAAAAATTTTTTTGATTTATTAATATATATATGTCCTGCACATAAGTCTTTTTATTTCTCATTCTCTTTAGCAACAATAACAACAACCAGATCCTTTACCTCCACTCGAACCAATCCTACACAGCATACAAAATACTTGTATAGCAAGCATGAATCCACCAAGAGCAATAAATCCGATACCGCCATAATATAACGCGTCAAAAACCCCTTTTTTACAAATTGTATTACACTTATCTTTACCGTCATCTATTGCATCATTCGCAGTGTTTGTCGCAGAATCCGTCAAAGCGTTATCACTGAAACTAAAATTACTCTCGTCATTATTAGCTGACGGCGCTAAATTAAGATTATTGGAGGAGTTTGGAGTAATAACATTAGAATTAGTAGAATTATTGATTGATATATTTGGATCACAAATATTTTGACATTTTCCTGGTATAGTTTTTGCAAAACCAAACGCAGCCAATCCAATGAGAATAAATATGATAGCCAAAACTATTATACACAGGGTACATGTACATCTGATACAACCACATACTGTACAACAATCAGAGAAATCGCATTCATCCCTACGTCTTCTTTTCTTTTTCTTATGGCTACTTCCACGGTCATCATTATAATCATTATTAACATCGTGATCATTACTACGATTATTATTATTATTATTATTATTATTATTATTATTATTTTGTGGTGGTGGTTGGTACGATGAAGGATTTGGTGGTTTTGGTTTATATTTACCATTTGAATCTTCCGATTTTGTAGAATATGATGGCGTAATTCCATCATTACCGTAATGCGAACTGTTTTTCTTATGACTATGCGAATAAGAAGAATCAGAGTATGATGATGACGACGCGTTATAAGGAAGTGGTTTTTGATTTGATTTTGTCGTTAATGGTGGTGTACTACTTGGAGGAATGGTTGGATAGTTGGGTGAATATTGATTATTATTATTATTATTATAATTATCATTCCTACTATTTTTATAATAATTATTATTATAATTATCATTCCTACTACTGTTATAATAATTATCATTATTAGTGTGGCTATTACTATAATTATTATTTGGATATGGTGGAGAATTTGATAAAGCCGATGGTCTTGGGTAAGGCTGTGTAAGGTAAGGATTCAAATTCCTTGACGGTGAATTGTTATTGTTATTGATATTATCATTACCAATATTTGGATAATAATTTGCTTCAAATGATGGATTCGATGGCGTGGTAAATGCTAATGGTTGAGGGTTTCCTTGCCCCTGGTGTTCTTGATTACTCAGATTTGCCTTTCCTTGATATAATGAAGTTGATGGTGCTTGTGGTGGCGGTTGTTGTGATTGTGGTGGTGGTGATGTGAAATGTGCTGGAGATGTTGGGGATGGAGACGGCGACGGCGATGATGATGATTTCTTATGTAAATATTGTGGATCTAAATGAAGAGGGGGTGGAATAGGAGGACTTGATGTTTTTGAAGGAGAAGTTGAAGAGTTATTAGTGGCGGTGGTGAGAAGTGGAGGAGTAGGAGCAGAAACATTTTGTAATGTTTGTGGTTGTGGTTGTGGTTCTAATGGTTGTGGTTTTAATGGCTGTGGTTGTAAGGGTTGTGGTTGTAAGGGTTGTGGTTGTAAGGGTTGTGGTTGTAAGGGTTGTGGTTGTAAGGGTTGTGGTTGTGGTTGTGGTTGTAAGGGTTGTGGTTGTAAGGGTTGTGGTTGTAAGGGTTGTGGTTTTAATGGTTGTGGTTTTAATGGTTGTGGCTGTAAGGGCTGTGATTGTAATGGTTGTGGTTGTGGTTGTGGGGCATAAGCATTATTGGTAAGAGGAACTGGATATTGATATTGATATTGATATTGAAAGTTCGTTGATGCAGGTTGTTGTTCGTATTGATACGGTTGTTGAGGTGGTGGAGGTTGTTGATAATTATTAGTCGGGGCATTATTATCAATCGGAGGAGGATAATTTAGTTGTTGGTCATTTTGGAATGATTGCTGCAAAGGAGGTGGAGGTGGAAATGGAGGTTGTTGTTGTTGCTGCTGCTGCTGCTGTTGTTGTTGTTGATTATTATAGTTATAGTTTTGATTATTATTATACATTTTAAAATATTTGTTTATTGATATATTTAAAAATTAAAAAAATAAGTTATAAAAGCAGTTATTTTATTATTAAAATATCTACAAAAAAAAAAAAAAAAGAATTTTTTATTTTTCTTTTTTTGTGTATAATCTGTTTGGAATTCAGAATTAGTAACTTTTTTAAAAAACCAGGTTTTTTTATTATTGTGACGCAAATGACACAAATAAATTTTTAATATGAATGTACAAAGTAATTTTCAGGTATCAAAAATTGTTTAACATAATAAATAAATATATATATATAGTTATTATTATTCCAATTTTTTAATTATACATATAGAATGAATGAGTAATCCAATTATTCTTTTGACAGGATTTTGTTTTAGGTAGTAAGTTGATTTCTTTTAATTAAATGTTGTTATATGGAATAATGATATTAACTATTTTTTTCAACAGTTTATCAGATTCTCAAAACAGCATACTTCTTAGTGGGGAGAAAATTATGATGGGTTAAGGGTCTAGTATAATTAGTTCATTTATAAAATATTCTATCCAAGATTCCGCTTATTTTTAGGTTCAACATCATACCGAACCCAGGTCACCGTCATCAGCATTACAACAAATTTGGGATCAGTCATGTTTCTAATTTTAAAACACGGCTACCTTCCATTGCAATGATTTTATTAGCTTCTAATCATTCGTCAATGTGGTGATGAGATTTCTTTTCATTACGAAAACTTTCCTATGTCTCCTGCAAGTCATTCTTCATATGTACGTCCTTTTTGGTTAAATATTGAGTACTTGAGAGAAACCATTTCATCCTCGCAATGTCCTATATTTTTTCACAATCTTGAGTTTTCCTTAATAACTAGGGGGCCAGAAATCAAGCAAAAATTTTCTCATTCATCAACATATTAATATTTTTTGTATGAATTTTACTTTTGGGGAAGCACATTATTGAATGGTGGAAATTTATATATGGATGATCGACATATGAATACAAAGAACAATCATGTGATTTATTTTAAAGTTTAAGTTTATATAACTAAAACCTTCGAATCCATTTTAAACCTTTTTTCTGTCAAAGTAAACGAAAAAAAAATTTATTAATCTTTGAGTTTTATTATACAAGAATAATAATGTGGTGGAACAAAAGTATAATACAAATTTTTATGCAAAGGTACTCGATTAGTCTTTTTCGTGACATTTTTCCCTCGCTAATTATATAACGTTCACTCCTTCGTCAATTAAACGATGTATACGATTATACTGATTTACTATTAAAAGTATTCTAAAAAAGCACTAGACGAGAAAATACATATATTTTTAAATCAATTGATACTCAGGCACTTGAAAATCATCCAAGGAAAGAGGAAATTACAAAAAATCATAACCAATAAAAAAAGGTATTAACACAAAACCACACAAAATAGAAAAGAAATAATACATTAATGAATTAAGATTTATAGCCCATCTCAAGTAAGTTGTCAAGATTTTGTGCTGATTTCAATCAAGTTATACTTTTAAATTCATCTTTCAGGTCAATAAGTTATAAGGTTTTAATTTCGTAATTTTAGAAATTTCTATTCTTTTAGTCAACGCCAGGATTAAAGCTCCAAAAAAGAAAATATCAAATGCCATCTAACATCTTTTCAAACTAGACTTAATATCAAAATATTGAAAGCATCATCATAACATTGAGTTTTATTCAATACAACAACACTAGATCTTTTTACACCATCTACAACATGATTCATGCATTTCACGCTTGTTTTTCGACACAGTTTTTTTTAATTAATCCAAATCGCAAAATTACTAGATATAAAATAAAACCAAATCATATTATTTTTATTTCATCATCGCAAGTAATCTTTAAATGTTTCTCGCCGTTATTCACTTTCTTAATCCCATCAAACCCCATTCTTTCCCATCAATTCATCAAGAACATAACTGGTCTGTCCATGACTGTTTCGTCTTGATAATAGATTGTTGTCAACCATAACTACAATGACAATGGCATTAATGCTGCAATATTGTATTTTTCTTTTTGTCATTGGGTAATTTTGATTTTTTTTTTTTACAATATATTTTTTGTGTAACTTCCTCCTCGTAAGTATTGTAAATGCAAGCCATTTCGATAGGTATCATATAAGTCAGTCATAATTTGAATTCTTGGTATTAGTTGATGTCATAATTTACAAAAGGAATCATATTTTAATGCTATCTTCTTCAAGGCTTCCCAAGAAAATCTCTGTGAACCGATCTATAACCCGTTTTTTCTGGTAAGAATATAAGTGATTGAGTTTATTCTATCGACACCTTCCTTCTGACTTGGCAATTTAAAAGAAAATATCATGTTAACTTTTTACTTTGGTATTACCATGAACTCTTGATATAAGACCATTATTTATTATATTTTCAAAGTAACTCCTGCCTATTTCTAGCATTTTTTTGACAAATGGTGTAATCCCAGCAGTAAAGGTCCTTTATGAACTTTGGCTAAGCAATCAAAACTGCAACCTGCTTTTAAAAAATCAATTGCCTTTTCATGTCCATTAGGACCACTTTCTTCTTCATACATATAATGTTTATATTAAAATTATCGCGCGCATTTATCAATATTTATTGTTTACTTTATCAAGCATAAAATCTAAAAGATCATCAGGAAAATAAATCTCACGTAAACCTACGTAGGGTTTAAAACTGACCAGCATTATGCGGAAATGTTAACAGAATTACCAAAATATCGACATAATGCTGGCCAATTCTGAACCCTATGTAGGTTTACGTAAGATTTATTTTCCTGATGATATCAATATTGGCAAATTACGTGACTTTTCAAATGACTTGGTCAAAAATTCATAATAAAATAGAGGTCATTTCGAGATATTTTGATAAAACTGAAATATTTGTATGCTAAAATTAATCTGAAACAATTGCTTTATCTCAACTTTCATAGAGCACATCTTTGACACCGCCTGAGAGTCTTGATGGACCCAAAGTACAAGGTTCAATAATTATACCTCAACAAAATTGTTTTTTCTTGATTGGCCATCATGAGATTCGCTTATATCGCCTTCTTGAGTTGATGTGATATGAGCAATAAGTAAATGGTTCATGAGAATTCGAACCATATACTATTATTACTGATTTGGAATTTTTGAACAAGAAATTGCTTCCACGTTCGTATTACATCTTTTTCTTCATCGCCATCATCGTCACCTTTATTAGTTGTCTTGGCACATCTTTTTAAAAAAATTAGATTACGAATGGCGTAGTAGACTTTATTAATAATAAAACAATGGATGGTAACCTCATGAATCCTAAAAGGTTTAATTTTACATAAAGTTCAATATTTTGAATGATTACTGCATTCCTTTAGAAATGATAGAGTCAGAATTAAATCTTTAATTTAAACCTTTTAGTTGACGATCCGTCTACAGCACCCACTAAGTAAAGCCTTTTTCCTTCAATATGAGAGAGTCGAATGGGAATTTGATTAATTATAAACGTCAATTAAATCTTTTTTAAACTATTTTTTTTTTTTTTTTTGGAGTTATTTACTTGATATGGTTCTGAAGAAGATACAAGTTCATCCCACAGATGTTCAATTGGGTTAAGATCTGGGGATTGAGAAAACCAACCAGACAAAATTTTTGTTTTTTTCTTTCCAATCCATTTTTGTACATCTTTTGCAGTATGCACTGGTGCATTATCATCTTGAAATGCATAATCTCCGCCACGAAATTTTCTTCTAATCAATGGTAACAAATTTTTTTCTAGAATTTGTATATAGTCTAAACGATTCATTTTACCCTCCACTTTTACTAATGGACCTAATCCCTTTCCGGAAAAGCATCCCCAAACCATTATACCACCACCACCATGTTTAACTGAAGGGACAATATTTTCAATATTGTAACATTGACCATCAGTACGCCAAACATGTCTTGGTCCATCACTTCCGAAGATTGTAAAGCGTGATTCGTCACTCCAAATCACTTTTCTCCAGTCTTCTACTGTCCAAGACCTTCTTTCTAAACACCACCTTAATCGATTTTCTTTTTATTTTCGTGTTAGAAGTGGTTTAACAGCAGCAGCCCTCGAAAAAATCCCAAGTTCATGCAAACTTCTACGAACAGTTCTTGTGCTAATATCTTTTAAATTTTTTTTGTCATCATCATCTAAACTTTTTGGTCTGCCAGGTCGTAGAGCACTTTTAACATCATCTGAATTTTTATAACGCGTAATTTGATTATGAACTGTACTTTTGGGTATTTTAAGGCATTTGGAGATTGCTCTGATACTTTTACCACTCATATGAAGACCTAATATTTTTCCTCGTCAAATCGGAATTTTTTGGCATTTTTGTAAAAAAAGATGGTGAAAAAATGTAGATCAAGTAGTTAGATAGGCATGCTAGAAGTATGAATTTCAATATATACATTCCTTGGAACATGAACTTTAAGATCATATAGTTTTGTATTTTTATTATGTGGATTTTTGAGAAAATACAAAAACTCATGAATGACATCAATTTTTTAATCGAAATTAGTATTTTTTTATTTTATTTACTGGAGTTTTAGATGTGTTGAAATTATGAAAATCTGTATACATGTTCGTCAAAACCTAGGCCGCAAATGACATAAACTTTATGTATAGTTATTATGTGTAGTTTTGCGCAATCAGTAAAAACAGGTGTATATTATTTATGACTAGATGCCTTATATTGGTAACGTTTATTTTGTTTATAATTTACACCAAAATATGAAATTATTATGTCTTCTATATAATATAATTATGTTCGCATTCATAAGGGTTTTATTTATAATAAACAATTGAAGTGATTGGTGTTAATATTAAATAATAATAATTAGTTATATTAAAAACTCGGGAAAGAAATATCAATGGTAAAGGCAACATAACTATTGAAAATGGAAAAAAATGCTCTTAAACTAGTGTTGGTTTCCAAAACTAGAGAGTTTCGCAACCGTGCAAAAGTCAAAAGGTTTCGCCATAAGTCAAAACTAGTTTTGATTTTTGACTATTGACTTTTGATTTAGTTTTGACATATAAATTTTAATTTTAGTTTTGACTTTTGTCTCTTCGAAATAGTTTTGGCAACCAACACTATCTTAAACACAAAAAAAATGCTCAATATATAATATGCAACTTTTGATTCTTGGAAGTTCACAGATTTGAAACTTACTTCAGGATTCAAATATTTATCCTTCTTCAAAGGTTAATCTGACCTGGTGCAATTAAAATTTCAGGGATGCATGATCCTAAAGCCTATTACTATCGAAATTAAAGTTCCGCATGAGCCAGTTCACAAAACAAACCTAATATGCTTGCAGGCTGGCCCGCAAGCTAAATAAGTAAGTGTTGTCGATAATTTATCTAGCTTGCAAACCCGTTCGCGAGGAACTTGAAATTGTTTCCATAAAGATTTTAAAGCTTCTATCTAGCCTGTTCCAAAGCTTTTCAATTGTAGAGAGAAACCTTATAGTAACGAATTTACACTTTCATGTTAGTAGAGGAGGAACATATTAAATCCGATAATGTGCTACAACTTGCAATTGTATATATACAATTTGGAAGTAGATTGACCACTACACTTGGATGACAAGGTGATGAACCTTGTTCTAACAGGGAAAGGAAAATATGTGCTCAATTCATATTTAAATGTGCCATATAAAAATATATGGAGACTGCATACAAGGAAAGAAACAAGAGAAATTAGTTTTTATTTTGATTTAACACTAATACAAGATAAGATACATACATATTAAAATAACCATTGCAGGGAAGAAAA